GGGGGGGGGGGGCAGAGAAGCAAGGGGGAGAAGAGAACAGGTTCTTAGCTACCTCAAGACTCCCACACTCTGGAATGTTTGGTTCTCTGATCTCTTTTCATGGTACTCCCTTCTTCCCTATCACACCCCAAAGCCCAGATCTTCCTCCACCCATACTTTTCTAAGAAAACCTGGTAGCATGAGAAACATTTTATGTATAGCCTAAACACAACTGGAATAAATGGGATCAAGGAACATATCTTCTGCAGATATATACCATGAAGGCTGGCCATTGACATCATGTAAATAATTTGAGAGTATCTACATTTCTGCAAAGGGAGTGACACAAGGCCAAAAAGGTACACTTGATTATTCATTTTCATTATGCATTATATAATTATTCTACATCCTTAATTTTTAATATAGTATCTATATGAGATAGTAAACAGCTATATTACATTCACTTAACAAAGGGGTAAGGATTGTGAGATTCTTTCAAATCATGATGAACATAAATTTGTTACTCATCACTGTTTTCTTGTTTTAAGTGTAATTTTGTTCTAAGTATTTACCTTCCTATCTCCAGAGGCACTTTTCTTTACCTTCTCCGAATCATAAACAATTTTAAGAAACTTCACCAAAAAAATTATCATATAAACCAAATACTGCTCTATGAAAGGGCAAGGTTAATTTTGGGGAAAATGTCACCAAATTACCACAGTAAGCTATCACTGACAGAAGAAGAGCCAAAAATTTTATAACTGCATATAAGAAGCTTTAGAGTAAAATCTTATTTCCCTCGCTCATTTTGATTAACAAAATACCAAGCTGTTGCCCTGGTCGGTGTTGCTCAGTGGTTAGAATGTCTGCCTGCCCACAGAGAGGTGGTGGGTTAGATATCCCCATCAAGGGCACCTACCTGGGTTGCAGGTTTGATCCCCCACCCTGGCAGGGGCAGGTGCAGGAGGCAACCAGTCCTGTCTCTCTCACACTGATGTTTCTCTCTCCCCTTCTCTCCCTTCCTTTCACTCTCTCTGAAAAGCAATGGAAAAAACATCCTCAGGTGAGGATTAACAAAAAAAGTAAATAAATACAAATACCATGCTGTTGACAAGAATATACTCTATAATGTATAACTTCAAATTTGACATTCCAAGGGTCTCTAAAAACACTGCATATAACCCATGCTTCTATTTGCTTTCTGCTCCTGAAAAATTTTTAATAGGATGAACTTTAACAAAAGTATAAATCTAAAATCTATGTTTAATACAAAAAGGCTCAAAGTCAAAATTTCAACATTTATGCCACTGTGCATTAAAACATACAGCTACATTCTCAAAGAAGGTATAGGAATCTTTAATGCACAGTCCCAAATCCGAGAAAGGAACACATACGTGCTCCAATGCCTCCTCCTCTTGTCAACGCCAGGAGAAAAGTAGCGTGGGAAGCAAGAAGAGACAAGATTTGGCATTCAGAGTTCTTTTTGACAATTCCTACGTACTAATCAGCCTGCGAGTCAAATAGTAGAGGTGCTGGAGTCGAGAGCAAGTAAGTCTGGCACTGAACGTGCGCAGCAAACAAGGGCAAACGCGCCGACTTACTCTGCACCTGCAGGTCCATCTCGCGCATCTCCGTGAAGCGGTCCCGCAGGTCCATTGGCAACTGCTCAATCACTGTCAAAGCAAGAGTCCGTCAGAGGGGCGGGGCCAATGGAAAAAGTACGCGCTGCGTCACTACGTGCGTGCGTGCATGGGGGGGGTCGAGGGAGCCGGCAGCCCAGAGCGAGGCTGCCAGTTACCGTGAGAAAGAAACATCCTCCGCCTCCCCCTCNCACTCACGCTCTCGCCCGCCCGCAGGTCCCACAGACGGCCCCGGCCAGCGCCGCCCACTCACTTTCTAGATAGTCCTCTAGGTACAACATCGCGGCCTTTAGCGCTTGGGGAACGAGGGGGTCCAGGTGTTTATTTGTGTCACTCGCTGTCGCCGGAGTTTTGTCCCTTCCAATATGGCGCCTCCGCTAGCAGCGCCCGCTCGGCTTCGGTGGAAAAAAAAAAGAAAAGAAAAAAAAAAAACACTTTGGCGCCTGACGGCGCTTGCCTCACTGCCGCCCGGAGCTGTCATTGGTTGGCCGGAGCAGTGACGTAGGCCGACCGAGCCCGTCCCCGCGCCGTTGTGGGAAGTGTAGTTTTAGTCTCTTCGCGGTACGAGTTAACACGCTGGCAGCGTTTCACTTGGAAACTACAAAGACCAGGCGCCGTGGCGAAGGCTGCGCAAAAGAATCGAAAATGCGGTGCCTGTTTATTTGTGGATATTTGCACAGCGAATGACGGGAGTTGTTTGCGCCTGCATAACACTACTACAACAACTTTTCGGCTGCTCCGGCCGCGGTGGTTGCATGCCCCGGTGTTTGTGAGTCATGGGTTCAAGCGGTGGTAGGAAAATAGGAAAGGTTCTAACGCTGGAATATCCAGCAAAGTTCAGGCGATTTGGACTCTCTAAATCAGAACTCGCTGCTGGAATTTAGCCTCAGTATCCACTCCCAAAAATATAAATGGGACGTCTGTTTGGCTTACAGTAACTAAAACAGTTTATTTTAAATATAGAGTGAATATTTCCCATATTAAAAGATGCACAAATAGTTCTCAATAGTCTCATATATTCTATTTTGCGGTCCTTCTTGTCATTCTAATGAAATTGATGTATAGGACAACCTGCACCTGCAAAAAAAAAAAGGAAAGCAGAAATAACGGATGGAACCTTAATAGCTAATGGGCTGTGCTAAGAATAACTTCAGATTATAATGAGTAGATAGCCTGCATTAGACGTCTGTGGTCCTGTGCCTTGTCATTTTCTATCTTTCGACTCCACCTCGCAAATGTTCACCCGTGATAGTTTTTTACTGACCAGTTTTTCTCTTTCTTCAAAACGTTTGCACTCAGTAAAGGTTAGCTATTGTTTTTCACCTGTCTTTACTTAACTCTCTTCATGGTTTCTGCCTTCCCCCTCCTTTACATTTTCTTGTACTCACGACTTTTTCACCACTCTTAATCAAGATGCCTGTCATGTTCATGAACCCCAAAGGAAATTTACCTCAATCCTAATAGCAATTACCTAATTTATTTTTTGTACTTCTATCTAAAATCTAATGACTTCAGTCTTCTTCCCTCCTTCCCCTTTCTTCCTTCTTCTGGCTGCTTTTGAGATCTCTGGTATTATCATCGTTTCAAAGCAATGAATCTGGGTATGATCCCTCCCTCGCTCCCCCATCCCACCTCCCTCCTCTCTTTCTTCCTTTCCTTTCTTCTTCCCTTCCTTCCTCTCTTTCCTTATAAACATATTTTTTAACCTTAGGATTTGAGAGGATTCCTGAATCTCAGGATTAGTGTCCTGCAACAATTCTAGAAAATTCTCGACCACTGTATCTTAACTTTTGCTTATTTCCCGTTTTCTTTATGATCTTTTAGCACATCTGTCAGATGTCTCTAAGACAAATCCCACTTTATCCTCCACTTCACGGTGTCTTTTCTATCCTCACCCGAGGGTATGCTTTTATTGATTTTTTTTTTAGGGAGAGAGATTAATGTGAGAGAGAAACATCTGTTTTATATGGTTCATCTAGAAATTTTCAAATAATTTTAATTTTTAGAAGTTTTGTTTGGTTTTCTTTTCAAGCCATTTTCTAAGTTCTTATATAAATTAAACATAGTCTGCATTGTGTCTGTTAAATCCAACACTGAAAATTGTATGGGCCTTTTGTTTCTTCTAGGTTTTGCTCATGGTGCCTGTTTCCTTGTGGCTTGTGATTTTGGAAGCTGCACTCATGTTTCTGAGATTGTAACTATTGGGATTCTTTGAGACCTGAGTTAAAAGTGAGTTTTCCTAGAGAGTATTAGGATTTCTACTGCAAGTTGTTTGGAGGCACCAAAAACCCTAGGACTAAACTCAGTTCTTCACTTAAGATTTATTAAATTTCACAGGTAAATTGAATTTGGGCCTTATACCAAATAGCTCCTTATACATTCTCAGGGGAGCCCTTTTCTTCCTTTCCTGGGTTCCAAGGTCAAGACAGGCATGTTTCCTTACTCACCTATGCATCAGGTTATTTTTCTCATTCACCTTTACCCTGGGAATGTAGCCCTTTTTTTGAATGTAGCCAGATTTTTGTCTCCTATTAAATTAACCTTTTAGATGGGCCCTTGGCTATATTTCCTGACCCTGGCAACTGTACAGCTGTCAAAGCAGAAGATCTAGGTGTACAGAATTTAACAGATGATCTGGTTGCAAAAGCCCACATTGGCCTGTACTTCTTTCTCAGGATATTCTCAATTTTCTTGCTTTCCTTTTTTTAACCCGTCTGAGAATTACTTCCTTTCCTACCAGTTCATCAATGTATTTGATTTTTTTAACCCAGTATTTTTTTGCTGTTTTCAGCAGATGGCCCATTCAGATAGCTAAAACAACATGCTGTCAGAAATAGAAGTAGGAGTGTATCATTTCAGCAGGTGGCTTGGTTGCTTGGAGCATTGTCCCATACACCAAAAAGTTGTAGGTTCGATTCCTGGTCAGGGCACATACCCAGGTTGTGGGTTTGATCCCCAGTCAGGGCACCTGCAGGAGGCAACCAGTTGATTTTTCTCAGTTCTCAACTCGCTCCCTCTCTCCCCTTTCCTCTCTCTCTAAAAATCAATAAAAACATATCCTCTGGTGAGGATAAAAGAAGTATCATTTCAGTCTAAACTGAGCTTTTTTAGTGAGTTTTCCATATTAAGGAAAACGAGATAATAGATGGTTCCCAATTTATTTAATATACATACACACTCAAGGGAAACTAAAAAATAATAAAACTAAACACTATATATTTTACTTAATAAATGTAATTCTTATTTTTGGACCACGTATCAGCTTCACAAAATTGTGATAGCTACTTACATCATTAGGTCATAAAGTAGATACCACTCAAAGTGGCTGCCCACTTACAGCCACTACTGCATTTCTAAGCTGTGCCCCTCATGTATAAGGTTGACTATACCTGAATTACATTATTATGCTCCCTAATCACGGCTCATTAATTTAACGGGCAGGCCATGGCTGGGAATATTAGATGCATTCTCTTGGGATTTGAAAGTGGGAATGAAGAGACTTGGAGACTGAAGGAATTGTGACAGAACTGCATTAATTGCAACACAATATATACATTGTCTAGAAGTTTCTTCTGCTGAGATCCTCCAGAGCAGGTCTTCTTTTTATCCTTGGTTTTTTTCCCTTTCTCTCTCACTTTCTCCAACACTAGTTGCATCACTTTGAGAAAGATATTTTAACACTCTGCCTCTGTTTCCTGATCTGTAAGCTGGAAATAGCAATAGTAGCTAAATCATAGGAGATTTAGAGCAAAATGATACCATCTATGCTAAGCACTTAGGTTAATTCCTGGTAAATGTTGCAGTACAATAAAATATCAGCTTCTATTATCATCATCATTAATACCATTAAGTTCCTAAGTTATCCATATTGCATATACTCTTTTGTGCTACTCTTAGGTTTGTCTTCTGCCCCTGCTTATTTTGAGCCTGGCTGCCACCTAGAACTCCCTAAAGATTATCTCACCTCCAACTGTTGTACTGCCACTGTCATTAAATTCAAAGGGGAAGTGATGCAGGGAAGGCTATTTAAGATTACTGCACTGAAGGCTACTGGCTAAGTAGAAGGAATTAGGATATAGGGAAAAGATTTTAAAATGAATGCAAAATATGACTGTTACCAGTTCAAGAGAAAGGAAAATTTAAATTCTTCGTATAGCATGTCCTCAGGGGGACCTTTGGACTTATGTCTTAAGTTCTATCCCTTCCTATCTTACAAAGAAAACCATCATCTTTAAACCTTGCTTGTAAAACTTTGAAATGAAATATTTTCTTAACTTTGTGCCAAGCCGTCTTTCCTCCCTGACAGACTTCTAAAACAAGGGATGAAAGCTGAATAAAATGCTGTCTTTACAGGAACCTCTTTAATTTTATCTTTAAAATCCACTGAGTCACTCACTGGATCAGTTATAAACAGCAGGATAATAGCCTTCACTTTAAATACCTACGGATGCACGGTCAGGTGTGGCTCAGTGGTTGAGCATCGACCTAAGATCCAGGCAGTCCGGGTTCCATTCCTGGTCAGGGCACATGACTGGGTTGTGGGCTGTAGCCAATCAGTGACTCTCTCATCATTGATGTTTCTGTCTCTCTCCCTCTCCTTTCCTCTCTCCAAAATCAATAAAGATATATTTTAAATAAATAAATAAATAAATACCTACGGATGTTCCTAACCTTTTGCACTCTAAATACCTTTTCTACTAAAAAGACCACTCTAAGGAAAGTTGTATTTTCCTGACCTGGTTCCTGGGTGTTTGTGATGAATCATCTGGAGAAGACAGATAAAGGGTGGAGAGTTAAGGAGATTTTGCAGAGGGGGTTGCTGGGTACGGTTTAGTGGTGGGAGAGGGACAATATTGAGGGAGAGGATAAATAACCGGATATAAAGCTGTCATAAACCATTTCCTCAAAACAATGAAAATTCTGGATAGAATATAAGAAAAAAGCTCGAAAGTAAGAGAATAAAATCCCCGGGTGCCAGAAATGAAGACTACACTCGAAGTCTTAGTGGTGAACAAGAGTGGAAGCTGAAAGAGCTGAGGACTTACAGGCCTTCACACTTGAGGCTTGGGAACCTGACTGTGCTAGGATTAAAATATTACAAATGTTGAAATAAATTCCTAGGCCCAGGATGGAGTTTCTCCTACCTGTAGTGCTACATCAGCAAACCAAAATTTATATAACTTTCATGTCCCCGTAAATGCTCCCCTTGACCAGAAATGCAGTATATCCAGTCAGCCAATTCCCAAATACCAATCCAAATCTGGGCTCCATACTTGTTTTCTTGTTCCTTCTTGCCCCAAAAAGTTTGGCCATGTGGCACCAGCTACCAATAGGTGTGGAGTACAAATTCAGACTTTTCACAAGGTGCAGGAACCCTTTACCAAGATAGTAAATGTTGGTCTGGCCCAATGAC